CACCCTGGGATCAAGTTTTTGTTGCTGCATCTTTTCAGGCCTGACTAGTTCACCTGTCTGTTGCTGGGGCAGACATTTTCTTGGCTGATCTGAAGATTGGCCTCTGTGACCTGCTGCCGTGCAGATAGCGGGAGGGGAGTTAAGCCAAGGCCAACCCCCTCTGTGGCAGGAAAAGCATGGGTTGAGGGGATTTCAAGTTGGTAAGCACTCCGAGATATCAGCAATAGGGGGGTCCTCAAACTGGGTACCTATCGACATGGCAGTCTGGGTGGCTCAGTGGGGGCCTCTTCAGGGTTGGCGGGACATATGATGAGCCATAAGGCTTAGCAAATCTATTAGAATATTTATATCCCTTTCTTCTCCAGAGAGTCAAAGTAATTAGCAATATTGCAGAAAGAATATACTTAAAACACAAACAACCAACATCAATACAGGTATAACCAGCCAACGTGAAGTTCATTTTCTTTATAGTGCAGCCCTCAACATCAGCCACAAAGAACAAAGGAGATGGCCTTGCACATCATCCTAAACATAGGGAATGAGGGTATCTGCTGAACAGAAGGCCATGCCAGGAAATTGGCCCCATGACCAAGAAAGATTTTTCTGCAGCGGTAAAGGGATAAACAACACTTTGAAAGGGCACTGTGAGCAAATGCTAAGCACTGATAAATTTCACTTACTGATTGAAAAGCAAATCGTATCATTAATTGTCTGTATATCAATACAATAACAATATGCTCCAACTTGCCCAAAGCAGCTCAAACCAGATGGTTGGTCATTGTACACCTACACAAGCATTAGACCCAGTAACCCATCAGTGGAAGGCACTAAGAGTTGTAGATCTTTGCATGTGTTTAAAAATGCTTCCTCTGGAGCTGGGCGGGAGATACATTTGTTTTGCTCTGTTTCCAAACCCTGTCTCTAAAGCTCCAGCAGAGGGAAAAGAGACAATGTTTGCTTTCTTTTCACGCCCTCTCTCAGAAGCCCGGAACAGAGCAGGGGTGAGGGAGTGGGTGGATTTTTCTTCTTTTTCATGCCGGTCCCTGCTTCCCAGCTGTAGCCTGCTTTTTGCAAACAGAGATCCAGACACGGGCTTGTTTTTAAAGCCTTCCGGAGCTCAGAAGCCCCACTGCTGAGAGCAAAGGAGGGGAAAATGTCTTTGCTTTGTTTCTGAAGAGGAGGGCTGGTTTTCTGTCATGCTTTTGTTGTTGTTCTCTCTTCCAGGGCTTCTGGGGAAAAAAAACCCCTGTGTCTGTGTTTCTCTTTTCCAGTTCTTCCCACAGAGGAGAGTAAGGGGATCCTGGAACTCTCAACAGGAGCAGAGGGAGGGGGCATACAAAGGAATCCTCAGGTTGGTGGAGCTTCCCCTTTCTGGGGACAGCTTGTGAGGCCAGCTCTGCCCCCCCCACACACCTCCAACCTTCCCAGAGAGGGGCCCGCAGCCGCCCTGGCAGCCTGGGCCTGGGAAACCCCCACCCACCCCACAAGCCTGCTGGGGGGCTTGCAAGGCTGGCTCTGCCACACCTGATCAGCCAAGAGAGGGACCTGCAGTCCTCCAACAGGTCCAAAGCTCAGCTGCTCGCTCACTCACTTGGGGCCTGGTGGCGGCCAGGCAAAATGACACAGCTTTCCCAGTGCCACCAGCTTGGCTTGCCTCACATCCAGGGACCGGCAGGGAGGGAGAAGAAGGGTGGTGAGTGACAACAAGCCTGGTGGTGCTCTCTTTCTGCTCAGTGCAGGATGCCTCGCCAGCTCCTCCATGCACTTTTTCTCCGGGCTTCGGGGTGCCTGAGCTTGGTCCTTGCTTCGCAGCCACAGGTAGAGAAACCAGCCTCTGCCTAAGCTCTGGGGGTGGGGTGGGACAGAGCCGCTGTCCCACCCTGTGAGAGACACTGACCTGTGGAAGGCATACACATGTGAAGAAGACAGGGGGGGGGGGGGGGGGGGGGGGCCCCCCCCTCCAGGAGCCTGTCCAGGGGCTTGCGAGGCTGGCTCTGCCATCCTCAACCTTCCCAGAGAGGGGCCTGCAGCCCCCTGATGGCTCTGGAACACAGCCTGGGCCTAGGGAAAAACCCCAGCCCACCCAGGGGCCAGACAGCCCAGCCAAGAGAGCTACCGGGTGGAGCATGCAGCCCACCCACCCGCCCGCCCGCAGCCTTTTGGTCCACCCACCTGGCTAAGGAAAGGGGAAGGGGCATGCATATGTTCCTTGGCTGGTTCCCTGGCTCGCCTATTTCTGCTGCTGCAGCCGGGTCCATCAGAGATCCCACTTAAGGTCTGGCCCTCCTTCACTCTTCTTTGCTCTCCTTTGCTTGCTGAGCCATGGGCTAGGTCGCTGCATGCTCTCCCACTCTCTTTCCTGCGCTTGCACTCTCTTTTCTCTGGGTGACCTCTGTGGTGGAGGGGAGGAGCTTTTGCTCCAACTTGCCAATAGGCAAGCTTGCACACTTGCCTATTTCCCTCTCCTTCACACAGGGTGAGACCTCTGTGAGCCGCACAATATGTCTTGAAGAGTCACATGTGGCTTGTGATCCACGGTTTGGCCACCCCTGGTCTACAAGAATGTATACTAATGGAGGTTTTTCTTTTCAGTCTTCAAGTTGTTGAGAAATGGACTAATTTATGGTTTTATATCTGCTTACACACGCAACACATGGACTGTGCACACACCTGTATACCATAGGCCTAGAGGAAGCTGTTTGCATCACCTACTGTGAGAGATTTCACATAGGGAACACTTTTCTGCATTTCATGTTATGTAGTTTGCACACATTCAGCTCAAAGCCTTATGGGAAGAAGAAGCACATGTTAGCTATTGTGGGCAGAGGCAACAATCAAGAAGAAATTCCCCCATTGCTGAGGAGACTAGATGTCACGCGGAACATGGACCTGATCTGCATCTGAATTGCTGTTTCCTGTTGATGGTGCCTTGTCCGCCTGGTAAAGCCAAGATTCATCTGCACATCAAGAAGGGCACACGAAGCCGAGACTTCATACCTGGCCAGATGGTGTTCCATGAGATAGAGTGTAGAGTTTCAAATATTGCCCCACCCATAGAATACCTGCCCCTTTCTACATGCACCAATGAGGGAGGTCATGGGATGAACTTGTAAGTAGGTGGGATTACAGTTTGGCAAGGTGCCACCCACCTGGAGATTCAACTATAAAAGTAAAGACCAAACTTTAGGTCTTTGCTAGCCACATCCCTTCTCAACATCCTCTGTCTTCTTTTCTACCCCTAAAGTCCAGCTCTCTATCAAACAACTTTTTGGACCATCCTAGATCTCTTGGACTGCAGCCAAAGAGATCCATACTTTGCTGGCTGGTTCTAGCAAGTGTGATTTAGTTAACACCCCTAGGTATTACTTTCTTCCCCTATCTTACATTGCATCAGACAAGACTTCAGGAACAGGCAAGTATAAACCGATACCTACCTACCTCCAAGTAAATGAGAAACTATCTTGATATCTTTCTGTAACTCTAAAGGAACCTTGATTGTATGCGAATGTGAGACTGATTTTGTGCGTATGTGATTTCGATATTGCTCAGTAAAAAGACAATTTGTTTTGGAAAAACACCAGTCTCGTCTCCATCACTGGTACTCTCTGGGACTGGCAGAACCTCCGTAAACTTTGGCAAGGACGTACGTTAAATTTAGTTAGCCATCTGCTGTAAATAAAGCGATTGGCGTAACAAAGTTAATGATGGACATGGGGTGAAGATGGACTGGATCCTGCATACAGTTTCCACAGATGTTGGAATCTACCCTGTTCTCTCTCTCACTGCAGCCTGAAATATTTATTTAACACTCACATTAGCAGCTCTGTCCCATCCCCAGCCCAGCTGACTCAATACCACCCCGGAATGCTGCTTCTGGGGTGTGGAAACCCCCAGAATAGGTTGGTCAGATTTGGAGGCCTTTTGTGTAAGGAGAATTAGCAAAAACCACACACACCTTGTGTAGGTAGAAATTTTAGTCAGGATTGAACACCAAGAGTGCAGTCATTTAGTAGTTTATAGGTCATCCCCAGGTCACCTTGAAATGGGTGCTTAGAGGAGTATGAGATATGATATGAGCAGATTCCCTGATCAGCTCACCACACATTACCTATTTCTGTGTTCTGATGAAATGCACCCTGTCTGTAGCACAGGGCTCCTGGCACTTAGCTTTGAAAATGGCATCTGAGAAATACTGTGCATTCTTTTGTACATTGGATATAACGGAACAACACTATGGACTATCATGCTTGGCATAGGGGGAGCCACTCATGTGCCAAGCAGGGTCGCCACATGGATGCTGAGAAGTTATATTATGCAGAGCGGCGCAAGACATTTTGGTGCCAGAACAGAAAATCCCAAGTGGCAGCTGATTAAAATGAAATTGGTATCCCTGACATCAAACAACATTAACAACTTAAAAATTGGCATGTGCTATTCCAAAAGCTGTTAACTACAGTGAGCTGGCTCATTCTGCCTCATTGTAGGGATGTTCTTTAAAAGCCAACAAGGGAGAAAAGTTACCATTGTGTATCTGCTGCGTATCTAGTACACTGAAGGAGGAAAAACAAGAAGCAAGCATGCTGGAAAATGTTTCAGGTTTTATTATTGGCATATTTAATTAATACTGCAGTGAAAACCATTCATTGCACAGAATGTAACCATAATATACAACATAAAAATGTAGTCTAAGTAAATTACAACAAGGAATTTAAAAAAGCCGTTAGAAAGAAAGCCACCTTCCATGGCAACTAACTCTTCCCTCACTGCTGAGTAAACATGGTGGAAGTGGAGGTCATGGCTATTTACCCACCCCTTAGAATTATTAATCATAGGGGACACTAAAGTCGTTCTCAAAAGAATACCACTATATACTGTACAGTCCTCAAAAATAATTTATTACACTGTTTCTAGAAAAGAAAACTAGTCTTTTTTAAAAAAATGCTTTCTCCCAGTTGCACAAGAACTATGCAATACTTCCTAACAGATTAGGAGCAGAATGCTTAGAGAGAGGAGGTGGTGGAATCCACAACTTCTCTTCCATTGCAGACGGTGGGAACGTACACATTAGCTGAGGCTGAAAAACAGAAATCCTTATTAACCATGGCAAGATTTTAAAATATTTTTTAACCCAGTGTTTTCCCAATGTCTTGCAATGATGAGCAAAACATTTCCCCCCCAAATTAAGCAGATGTTGGTACGGTTGGTATGACAAATTTAAACCAGGTTCAAAGCTATCATAATTCCACAAAGAGGAAGCTTGGAAACTATAGTTCTGTGATGTGGCTAGAGTTTTCTAATGAAGAATCTTTAACACTTCTATCCAGCTACAATCCCCAGGGGTCTTTGGGAGAGGATATAACTGCCAAACTGGCTGGTGTGCTGGAATCTCTCTCTCTCTCTATATATGTGTGTGTGTGTGTGTGTGTGTGTGTGTGTGTGTGTGTGTGTATCTAGCAAAGCAGCAAGCTGCCAGGGCACAAAACCAACTTAACAGCTAGTTAATAAGACAAAACAATGCAAAGATGAAACACACAGAAGGTGTGCATGTATCTTTCTCTATATGTGTGGATAGACCGATAGCTAAATGTCAGGCATTTCCCATACATGTTGGGCTTGACTTGGGCAAAGTGCTGCAGAACTAGTTAATTTTTCTTTTGTATGTGGAAGGAAATGTCCTTAGTGAGAGAAACTAGGAGGATGGCGGTCTGTCCAGGAGAGCTGTGATGAGGGCTGATGGGGTAAGTGGAGGGAAGATTCATATTGCAGGGCCTTGCCTTAGATCTGGCTAGGGGAGGGGATGGGTCCAACTTGCTTGGCTTGGCCCAACAAAATATTTTGTACTGAACCTGTCTCCAAGTTTCCTCTCTTGGCAAAAGTAGGGCCAGAACGTGTTGGAGATTGGCTTCCTTGAATCAGGTGCTGCAGTTACTTTGAGGGATTGATTTGCTCTGCAGAGAGATGTGGTGAGTGTGAGTGAGATCTGTTCTTCCTGGCCAAGAGCAGGAGGAAAATGGATGTGCCCCCTCCTGTTCCTGTTCTTCAGAGAAGTTAAAGGGCTTCCACCATGTGTGGATCCTCAACTCTCAGTAAGAGATTCATAGACCTATCTCCATGGATTTCTCTAGAGTAGACTTATTCAAACTAGTTAGGATGTTAAACTTAAAAGTCTTCTTTGGAGATACTGGTTTGTTTTTTTAACCCAACATATTTAAAAATAAATCGCAATTTATTCCAAATCTTTATTGTCCATCTATCATGGTTTTTGAAAGACACGTTCTAGAGGACATGGGGAGATTAGAATCACAGTTTAAACATAGAAATTATAACATCACAAAAGAACAAGATGACACACTTCAGGAATTAGCCAAAGATAGATCTATTGTTATTAAGAGTGCAAAGTTAAGCTGGTAGTACTTACAATGGGTTATGTTTATTCTCGAAGTTTCATGTCTGTATTACATTTGTCTTGCAATGTGGGGGTTTTTTATTTTTGTTTTTTCATTGTTGTCCCATTATGTCTTTTCTTAATAAAAATTATTTTTAAAAAAGAGTGCAGATAAGGGGGTGCTATTGTAATACAGGATAGAGATGATTATATATTAGAAGTACGCAGACATCTTAGTGATGAGAGTTTTTATAAACCCATTACACATGACCCCACTGATGAAGTCCTTTATATTATTAAGGTTACGGTCAGGGAGGCTTTAGCCTTAGATATCATAACATTACAGACAGCTGAATTTTTAATTAACCCCTTCCCTAGGGTACCCATATTCTATGCATTACCTAAAATTCATAAGCCTGGCTCACCACCTCCTGGGCGTCCTATCATGTCAGGGACCAACTCTACATTTGAACCTATCTCAAGATATTTGGATTCTTTTCTCCAGCCATATGTTGTCCAGTTACCTACGTTTATAAAAGATACCAAAGATTTTATAACTAAAATTGAAGGTTTTGTTGTACCTGCAGGAGCAACTCTTGTGACTATGGATGTAGGTTCACTTTACACTAATATTCCTCATGAGGAGGCTAGGATATGTCTGCAAAACATCTTAGAAAAAAGAGAGTCTCGGTCCCCATCCACTTATTTTCTCTTAGAATGAGTAGACATCATATTAGAAAAAAGTTTTTTTCGTTTTCAAGACGATTTTTATTGGCAAATAAAAGGTGTCTCTATGGGGAGCAGTTTTGCTCCGTCTGTAGCAAATTTGTTTATGGGGAGTTTCGAAGAGGAATGGATTTGTAATAATCAAAATAATCCTTTTTGTGCACATATGATCTTTTTAAAGAGATATATAGATGATTTATTTTGCATTATGGATGATGAATCAATTGTCAGTGAATTTATTTCATGGTTAAATAGTGTACATACATCTATTAAGTTTACATACTCTGCTAGTAGGACGCAAGTAGATTTTTTAGATACCACTGTCTTTATACATGAGGGCAAACTAGTGGTTCATCCATTTAACAAGCTAACTGACAGGAACGCGTTTTTACATTATAAATCTCACCATATTGAGCATTTAAAGCAGAACTTGCCTTATGGGCAATTTCTGCGCATATGAAGGAACTCTACTTTTGAAAATGACTTCATTAGAGAATCTGACAAAATGTGCAGACAGTTTGCCATGAGGGGGTACCCAGTAGAACTAATTAAGAACTCTCTAGATCAGACAAGGAGGAAGCCACATGATGAGTTATTGAAGGACAGTAGCAAAGAAAAGTCCAATAGAATCTGTTGGGCATTGGATTTTACTAACCAGGCAAAATCCATACGTAATATCATTTGGAAACACTGGCACATCCTGGGTGATGTTCTCCAATGTAAAGAAAAACCATTCATAGGATTTAAAAGAACTACCAATGTTAAAGATTGTTTAGTAAGAGCAGATTTACCTAGATTTATGACAGCAGATAATACGCCCAAGGGAGTATTTAAGTGCCAAAGATGTGCTGCGTGTAAATTTATTCGGGAGGTGAAGACGTTGGAATTTCCTGAGATAGGTTTTCAAAAAGATATTGATTTCTTAGCAACTTGTGGAACTAAGGGCATTGTGTATCTCCTGGAGTGTGTATGTGGCAAAAAATATGTGGGAGAATCCACTAGAACATTAAGAAAACAAGTGTTGCAACACAAATCACGTATAAAACACAATTGTGCAGAAGGTCCAGTCGTTCAGCATTTTATTGATGCGGGGCAGAGCCCAGATGAATTTAGGATAGTAGTTTTAAAGGCTGTGCATCCTGCCAAATTTAGTCGTATAAATTTGAAAAATATGCTATTAAAGAGGGAGGTGTTTTGGATTTTCCAGTTGAACACCTGCCAACCGCATGGGCTAAATGTTTCCTTAGACCTATCCCCTTTTTAATAAAATGGTAGAGGCATGTCCATCTCACAGTAGAACTGGTTCAGGATGACTGTGTTCATGCCCAGCAAAAATCAAATAGCAGTGTCTTTCCAACAGACATAGCTTCCAATCATGATCACACTGTAATTTTTCAGCAATCCCCTTGCCCCAGATTCAACAACAGGAGTTGAAGACCAATTTGGTGGGTCTCATAGATTAGATAGAAGTAGATTTAGACATAGGATAACATAAGTCTCCCCTTCCCCTTTCCCCTTCTTGGATAAGTTAGTTCCTTTAAAGAAAGGTGTGAATGTCTAGAGGATCTTTCGCCAGATAAGGCTTAATGTGGACACATGTAGTGATTTAGTCTTCCAATACCTCATTCAGTTTTGTTAGTGTGTTCTTGAGAGTTTTTCCCTTTAATCAGTGGCATGGTTTTGGAATATGAACCTTAAGGACCCTCAGCTGCATAGGGTTTGATGCATACACTTATAGCAGATTAGCACTTTAATAATATTTTAAAACAGAGAAGAGTGTAGATATGTAGTACGGTTTGACCTTGTAGATTTAACATTATTCAGTGGTGTTATGTAAACTTTAGTTAAGTATGAGCATTCCCTTCAGTAAGGAGTGCGTCCTTGAGAACGTTCCCTTTAATTAGCAGCGTGATTCTTGAGATGTGAGTCTGCAGGGATCTTTTGATTTGATTTGGTCAGTGTAATTTGTAAGCACAGGGACTCAGAAGTTTTAATAATATTTGAAGATTTTTAACAAGGCTTTTAGCCAGTTGTATTGTTAAAGTTGTATTATTAAAGATGCAATAACTAAGTAGACTAGTGGTTTTGTATTATTTATTGTTAATATAGATGTGAGTAATAATTGTCAAAAAGTTACAGTATAATGTGTAAGGTTGTCTTTAAGCACTAAGTGGGAGTATAGGATATAAGCAGTCCATTGTGAACACCTGTTAAGGCAAATTGATCTGTTTGTATGCTCGGGATAAGATTCTCCAGTAAAATAGATTAGGGTGAGTTGTAAACTTTAAATAATAATAAGCTTTTTGTAATAATGCTTTGTGAATGTACTTTACAAAATGCTTTTTGTATAAATGTAGATTGCAACAATGGAGTAACTATATGTATGTCTTTGTAGATACATTCTAGAATTTGAAATCATGGCATGGAATATCATGTGAAGACACTATGAATAGTAGATTTTCAAAAGAGACTACCATGGTACATTGCCTTATAATAATTTTCATTGAATAGAAATAGCTGTATAAAAATAGCTTCAACATATGTATAACATTGCATTGCATAACCTCTTATGTCATTTTGTAAGGTGCTTCAGTATGTTCAGATGAAGTTGTGAACGAAACGAAAATCAACTCCGGGGAGTTTCGTCAACCCACTTTTTTTCTATACTTTTGAACCCACTTTTTTCTGTATTTTGGGTGTACATATGAAAGACCGAATATGTAACAGTGTGGATGTGTTATTAACATTGTTAAATACAGTGGAGAAATTGTATTTCATTTCATCCTAAGTGCTGAGTGTCAGCCCTTTTACAGACTGACTGAACATTTTTAAGTTCACTACTGGTGCAGTAAGAGCTTGCATTTATCTCAAAATATTTAAATCCAGAAATGGCGTTTCTAATTTTATTCCCGCTTGGCTCTATTTCCTCATAGCTATGTACCAGCCCTCAAATCTTATCTTCCAAAACTTATCTATCCGCTTTCAAACCATTTATTTTCTTGACCCCCAAGCTTAATGGGACATTTTTAAGTTCACGGGGGGGGGGGGAATTTACTTCGAGCTGTAGGAGGCACACTCAGCAGTAAAACATAAGACCTTGTGTTTAGTTCAGTGGGTAAATTCCTGCCCTGTAAATCAGGGCATTGTCGGTTTGATTCCTGCATGGCTGCTTTTACTCATCGCTATGTACCAGTCCGCAATTTTTTTTATCTGTTTATTAAATTTATAATCACTGAATATGACTGGGCAATGCACAGTCAGCAGCTTTTTCGAGTAAGAGCTTGCATTTGGCTCAAAAAGTTGCAATTCCTGCCTTGTAGTCATTTTTAAGTTCACAGGGGTAAGAAAGACCCTAGGAGTAACAGAAGTGTTCTGGAATTGGAGTGAGAGACCACAGAGTGGAATGACAGCCCCTGGCAGTAGCAGGAGTGTTCTGGAACTGAAATGACAGGCCCCAGAGTGGAAAGACAGTCCCTGGGGGTAGCAGATGTGTTCTGGGACTGGAATGACTGGCCCCAGAGTGGAATGACAGCCCCTGGGGGTAGCAGCAGTGTTCTGGGACTGGAATAACAGGCTCCAGAGTGGAATGACAGCCCTGAGGGGTAGCAGTTGTGTTCTGGGAGTGGAATGACAGGCTCAATGGTGGAATGACATCCCCTTGGAGTAAGAGGAGTGTCCTGGAACTGGAATGCCAGGCCTATCATTACAGTCCCAGGACACATCTCCTACCCCCTGGGCTGTCATTCCACTCTGGAGCCGGTTATTCCAGTCCCAGAATACTCCTGCTAACCACAGGGACTACCATTCCACTGTGGGGCCTCTCATTCCAGTCCCAGAACACTCCAGTAACCCCCAGGGGCCATCTAGTGATGAACAATAGATTGTGATTAGATAACTGAAAAAAAAAGACAAAGTGGACAGCTCCCCTAATGCTAACTTGAAAGCAGAGGCGCAGCAGTTCTAAACCACATGGAATAACAGCAGCACCAAGCTGATTCTAAAATGCATATGTAGATTCGGCCTAAGTCTTTGCTTACCTTGGGAATAGATGGTCCCCATGCCACTGGTGCTGAGTCTGTTGAGATGCAGCCTGTGAGTGACAACATTCTTCTGTGGCTGGAAGAGAACAATATGTACTTTGGGCGCAAACAAGCATCCCAGGACGACAAAGCCGCTTAGACTTACGGAGATGCACATGGTCGTGGTCTGAACCTGCATGGAGAGAATCATTGCAAAATAAAATGACCAGAAACATAGAAGTGTGAGCTGCCTTTTTGGATATCACGCCCAAACCAAAGCAATTAACTATCAGAGCTCTTAAAAGGGCTCTTCCTTTGGGGAGTTAAGAACAGAAGAGCCATGCTTGCTCAGGCCAAAGCCAAGTGCCTTTTCCACAGCAGGACCTGTTTCTAGGATGCCTGCAAAGCAATGATAGTCTCTCAATAAGTGGAGATCAAAGAACACCATCTCTGATAAGCCAAATTGTTGACAGTTGGTTTGATGCCTGCCACTACTATCATACTTTAACAGGTCATTTCCTATGGTGGACCTGTTCTATAACCTTTGCCAAGAATTATAGACTAGTCTGTGCTGGTATTTTTAAGGTCAAGCAAGACTGGGGATATCCTGGAAAGACTCACAGAATGTCTTGGTTATTTCTGTGTGGGGAAGGTTTGCTAAAAAAATTTTTCTGGCAGAGGTCCTCTGCCCTTAACTGCTGTAGGGCAGGCAAAGATGTAACATCAGAAGTTTTCCCCAGCTTGCAACTGCAGTTGTGGCAAAAAAGTTTGCCGCATTTTTTAGGTGCTAAATAAAATGGAATTCCAGCTAAACAACAATACCAAACCCAAAGATGGTAAGATGTGAGGCATTAGACTCTTCAGTCTATGTAAAGGTAAAGGTAAAGGTTCCCTTGCTCGAAAGCCAGTCGAATCCGACTCTAGGGTTACGGTGCTCATCTTCGTTTCAAAGCCGAAGAGCCAGCGCTGTCCGAAGACGTTTCCGTGGTCATGTGGCCGGCATGACTAAACACCAAGGTGCACGGAACGCTGTTACCTTCCCACCGAAGTGGTACCTATTTATCTACTTGCAATTTCTTGCTTTCGAACTGCTAGGTTGGCAGGAGCTGGAACTAGAGGCGGGAGCTCACTCTGTCATGCGGCACACCCGGGTCTCGAACTGCTGAACTTCTGACCTTCCACAGCCTGCAGTTCAGCGTCTTAACCACTTGAGCCACCACAGTCTATGAGCTGGGGCCTAAAAGCATCATCTTCACTCCTTGACTGGAGCACCAAGGGGTTGCTGGCCCGTGTGAATGAGGTATCACACACTAATTACCACAGACTGAGCTTCTACGTGTCAGTCTGAACACAATACAGAGCAATGGAGCACAAAAAGTTGAAATCATTTAAGGTTGTGTGAAATCATGACCAAGGCCTCTCAATGAATCTGGTCAACCTATGAATTAGTCTTATAAAGAGTCAGACCATTCTTCCATCAGCCCTAGCACTGTCTGCTGTGATTGCCAGCAGCTTCCCAAGACTAGGAGAAATTTACCCCCAGCACCAGCTACCACAAACCCTTTTTAACCAGAGACATTAGGGATTGAACCCAGGACATTCTGCATACAAAGCAGACACTGTTGAGATTTAGCTGCAAATCATTGCATCATGGAATCAAGTGATGAGAGACTATAAGTGCCTTGGAGTAGGGGATTTGTAGCATATAATGGATTAATTTAAAAGTATCCAAAGCCTGTTGTCTGCAGTAACCCAACATTCACATGCAGTTGGTGCATTTCTCTTAGAAAAACACTTAGGGGGGGTATGTCAATGGCACGGAAGAAATCTCAGACTGGGATTTGTGAGAACACACAAAAAGGAGTCAGCCCGTAACCCATAGGAGGAGGACTGCTTGGAACAATCAAAGGGGAACTTGAGGATCCAATGACTTACCCTGTAGTCACTCGATGTCACATAAAAGATTGGGAGGAAAGCCAGCCAGATGATGCATGTTGTGTACATTGTAAAACCAATAAATTTGGCTTCGTTGAAGTTCTCTGGGCACTTCCTTGTTTTGAAGGCATATACAGTGCATAAGACTACGAGGATAACATCGTATGTTAAAGAGATCAACATACTAGAATCCTTGACATTACACTTCAATATGACAGTTTGCCGCTTCTCGGGAAGGGTGTACCTCCGAGTGCCTGGGGCCTCCAAAATCAGCCACAACGACACCACTACAATCTGCACCATGATGAGGCTCAGGCAGATGAAGACCTGTGAACGTGGGCTGATGAACTTAGGCCGCTGAACCCCGTTCTTCACCCCATTAAATATTCTGGCAATACAGTTTGTTTTAGTCAGCAGGGCAGCATAACAAATAGCAAACGATGTACCCAGGCCTAAGCGACGCAAGGTGCAAATAGCTGGTGAAGGCTTGGCAATGAAAAGGAATGTCATGCTGTAGGAAAGGAAGACTCCGAAGAGGAGTATGTAGCACAGCTCACGACCTGAAGCTTTGACCAAGGGGGTGTTATTATGCTTGATAAATACCCCCACAGCCAGGAAAGTACAAATGAAGCCCACACATGCAATGGTTACTGGTCCGATGGCCCAGGCATCTTCCCACTCGATGTAATCTTCTGAGAGGTCATAACAGCCGGTAAGATTGGTGCTTGGCCACCGCCCAGGCCCACAGTCTGCACAGGTGGATTCGTTCGCTAAGTACTCAAACGGCTCGCAAGGGATGCAGATCCAACAGCAGACGTCTCCTGGCTGCATGTTCTTCATCTCATTGGGTGCACAGGGATCACTGCACTGGGAAGTGGGAATAAGACTCCTGGACCAATTAATGGCGTCTACATAGAGCATCAACGTCTCTGCCCACTGGCCAACTTTTAGGTAGGAGTATTTGCCTCTGCTGTACTGGAAATTGAAGACGTTATATCGGCCAATCCCATCACCGTAAGCATCAAATTTAACAATACCGTCTGCCGATTTGGAAGAACTGAATGGAGCTGCCAACAAAAACAAAGAAAGAAAGAAAAAGAAACGTTGCTACTTCGTACATTTCTTTTGATACACATAAGAAAACATGTACGTAATTCTGTTCATTGAGTTCATTCTTGCAATTATAATGTTACCAACTTGAAAACCTAAGGTGACTTGGTATGAATGATTCAAATTTCCATTGGCTTGTAGAGATGTACAACTTTTAAAAAATAGTGCATATCCTGGTTTGGCCATATACTCGCATCACCATTCAGTGTTAGGATTTGGAGAATCAGCTCTAGCTGATGGTGCTTAGCTGCTGATGTATGCAGAGGGTTGGGAAAGGGACCATAATTGTCCCTCACCCAGTTAAAACCCCACAATAATTTGGGACATTTAGCATGGGGTGTAATATTTTAGTTCTCCAAATATGGATGGCCTAATAGGCATATTCAGTGGGAAGGTAACAGTGTTCTGTGTGCCTTGGTGTTTAGTCATGCTGGCCACATGACCATGGAAATGTCTTCAGACAGCACTGGCTCTTTGGCTTTGAAACGGAGATGAGCACCGCAATCCTAGAGTCAGATTCGACTGGCTTTCGAGCAAGGGAACCTTTACCTTTTTAATAGGCATATTATGGAAATTGCTAATCCTTCCTTATTAATAAAAGCCAGTTGGGGTGGCAAGATTCGATGCGCGGCAAAATCAGTTAGCCGCTTGAACTGCCACTCAGAATGTCAGGTTATTGGCTCTGTAGACTCAGTCCCGCCCACACAAGCAGCACCCGCAAAAAATTGCCTCACACTGTTTCTGGCTCCCTCAGACAACGGACACTCTGGCCCGCTCTGTTCATTTAGGAGGAGGAGCTGCTGTGGGGGGGATGGGCTTCCCTGGCCCACCGGCCTTGCTGGGTCAGTGGGGCAGCCCAACTGCCCTTGGTGAGGGGGAAAATGGCTGTGCAGCACTTCCCTGGCCCGGTGTGGCCTGCCCCAGGGAGGCCGCGGGCCCTTCTTTGGGAGGGGAGGAGGGCCCCGCCGGGCTTCCCTGCACCACCCAGACTGGCCTTGGGGAGTGGGGAAAGGGCCACACTGCACTTCCCTGGCCCAGTGTGCCCTGGCCCAGGGAGGCCATGAGCCCTTTTTGGGGAGGGGGGAAGGCCCTGCCGGGATGCTCTGTGCTGCCCCCGGCCTCGCTGGGGTGGCCCAACTGGGCTTGGGGAGGGAAGCCCGGCGGCCTGAAGACTGATCCGAGTAGTGGTGGCGGCACCTGACTGGTAAATGCGGGTCCACTCCAGGAGGGCCCGGGCATCTGTTCTCCCCCTCACTGGCACCGGCCTGCCTCTGGGGCACTCTCTGGGGCTGGGGGTTGCGGCGCTCCCCCCAGGCAACTTCCAAGGCTGGATTGTGGCCGCTGAGCAGCCACGATCTCGCCTGGCCATGCCCTGCAAGGGCCGCCTGGTAGGCAGGCAACCAGCTGCAGCGGAGGAGTCTGGCGTCAGCGTCGGTATCTACCAGTGGAGATGTTCCACCTCTGAGGTGAGGGCCTTGCCTGCTGCCAGCCTCCTCCCATTGGGCTGTCGAGTCGGTCAGCCAGCATTTGCAGCAGGAAGGGGGCATTTCTTTGGGAGGCAGTGGGGCATGTGAATGCAGGTGGCCACCCTCCCCAGTCTTGCAGGGGGCACGTGGGAGGGAGGAGAAGCTGTCAAGGGTGGAGGCTGCTGCAGTTGATGGGGGGGGTTGTTGTGGTCGATGGGCAGCCCCACCGGACTTCCCTGCACAGCCCTCCACCTTGCTGGCCCACCGTGGCCCAACTGGGTTTGGAGAGGGGGGAAAGGGCCATACCACGCTTCCCTGTGCCAGTGCTGCCTGACCACGAGTTTCGCTCACCCAGGCCCTCTTCGTAGAGCTTGTCACATTCATTTTCACAATGGGCATTTTTCCTAGTTATTAATATAAAGCACATCAATTATTGCACTACCCACCACTGATTTGTGTCTGCTCCCAGCAATTGCCACAAATGTTTGGGGAGAGTTCAGAGGAAGCATCATTTAGGAGACCATTTATTTGCTCATGCCAGGAAAACTGTTTGCAGACAGATGCAGAAAGAATGTCAATCACAGCAGTGATTTTGTTTATTGGCTAGAACAGTGGAAGCCAGGAGAGGACAGAATAATGGATAGAGTACTGCTTGCATATCTTACCCCATATATCTGGATCTATAAATTGGATTACTAGCTCCAGGTTGAGAAATACCTGGAGATTAAGGGGGTGGAGCCTGAGGAGTCCAACTTTTAAAGTGGCCATTTTCTGCAGGTGAACTGATCTCTATCGCCTGAAGATCAGTTGTAATAGCGGGAGATCTGCAGCCACCACCTGGAGGTTACAGTAGCCAGAGAGATAACGGGATTGGTAAATGAAAAATAAACAATAAATAATGACTGTGATATAATTACAAAAAGTCAATTCAATTTTTCAAGCGTTTCATAAATATTAATATGTTTCTGTGAAATCACATGGACATACATATCCTTCACCATAAGAATAATTCAATGACATAATATATCTGTGATTTCACCAGTCTAGTAGTACTCCCTATTTAGATAATAGGACATTTGGAACTTATTATGTACACTACATGGGCTGTACTACATGTTGAAAAATATCTCAATGTTATTTTCTTATCCCCCGGTAATTGAATATTTTCTCCTTCCAATGACAATTTATAAGCTTCGTATTTTCTGCATTTGTAGTGCACTCTAGTGGACAACTGAGGACAATTGACAACGTTAATATCTGAATGGATTACAGTGTCCCTAATATTTTTTTGTCCTTCTAAAGTCTATAAAAGGACAATTCTCACAGTCAGGTAGATCTGCAATTGGATGCCAGTGTCTTTCTATACTCTTCTTAATTACCTTAGCCATAGGTGTATAATCAAAGGCACACATTAATTGTAAACCTCACCTGCAACCAATCTGAATAGTAAAAGTAGGTTTCCAACATAAGGATTACATGTGGCAGAGTTTAGAGCTATTCATGCCTATGAGAGAGAAGATGCAGCCAAGAAACTGAGTAAGAAGAGAATTTGTAAAGTGTATTATATTAGATTGGATGCAGATGAGGTATATTATAATTTCTTGTGCATATTCAATGTTTAATTACTGGATATTGGTTGTAGCTACACAAATCCTGCTCTGAGGAAGCTTATTGAATTCTGAAGGAAGCTTTGAAAATACATGCTCAAGATTTTACAAATGGTTGGAAGACTACAATAAATAAACAGTATGGTCATATAACCATATTAGAAGAAAGTACGAACTATATTTTTAAATATGATGCAAATATTTACACAAAATACATGGTGGTAAAAAGATACAAGTAGACAATATATGAGGTAACATATTAGGCATAACAAGGATGTAATGGAGTCCCCCCACTTGTATGTATTTATGTTTGTTTGCTTGTTTTTCTTTGTTCGTTACAAAAAATAAAAATTTATTTAAAAAAGAATATAAAAATAAGAAAGACACTAAGAATGTTTTATTGGCTATTGCACTATTTACATTGGATGATGATTGAAGAGAAGAGGACCTTGCAGTCTCCTGTAATACAGAAGAGGATTATGTCATTGTATTATTCTTACTGTGAAGGATATGTATGTCCATGCGAGTTCACATAAATGTATTAATATTTATCAAACACTTGAAAAATTGAATTGACTTTTCATAATTATATCACAGTTGTTACTGTTTATTCCTCATTTACCACCTGGAGGTTGGTAACCCTACCCATAAGGGTTAGAGTCTAAGACTTCTTTCTTTTTAAAAGAAAGTCTAGGCTCAAATGGGCATGCATAGAATTTAATATGGACAGCCAAGCCATAGGGCAGCCCTGTCAGAATTATCTTCCACCCCAGTTGCTACCACGGGTCTCCAGAATTGGCAGGCAAGTATGAATGAACTATATTGCTAAATATGTAAACCCATGATTTCCTTGTCCTCGGTAAGAATGGGCTTTGATCTTTCTTAAATGTTATCTCTGTTATGCAAAGAGAGAAATGCTGCTGTCTCAAATTCTCCTTTCAGCCTGATCTCTGGCTTTCAGTCGTCAATTTGAATTAAACCCAATCTCATCAACTACCATTTCAACCGTTTGCTACCCAAAGTCCTTGCCAGATGATGTCTCAGGTTTTTTGTGCAATAAATGTGTGGCAGTTGCTCATCTATGGAAAAGGATGATTTTCTTGCCCGTCTTTTGCTCCAGTGGTATTATGGTTCACAATTGACTACCAGTAATTTAGTTCCAGCTCCTACCAACCTAGCAGTTCGAAAGCAAGAAGACATTGCAAGTAGATAAATAGGTACCACTTCAGTGGGAAGGTAACAGCGTTCCGTGCGCTTTGGTGTTTAGTCATGCCGGCCACATGCCCCTGGAAACGTCTTCAGACAGCGCTGGCTATTTGGCTTTGAAACGGAGATGAGCACCGCAACCCTAGAGTCGGATTCGACTGGCTTTCGAGCAAGGGAACCTTTACCTTTACCTTTAATTTAGGCTTGCCCATTCCTATGTCCTTTTGCTTGATTCCCAATTTTTCTGTGCTCAGCAATGTTTGAATTAGTTTAGATGTTAGTCTATTTCAACAAATTAATACAAAGTCTAATGGCTCCTTAAAGATGGACAATACTTATTCCAGCATAAGCTTTAATGAGTCAGACCTGACTTCTTCACATACAAATAGACCTCACAATCACTTTGTAGACGCTTTTATAACAAAAAGTTACAAGGTGGTGGTGAGGGGGGGGGAAGTAGAGTTACAGCAGAGAGGCACCTGTTACAAATCATTCAGGTGTGAGTCTCTGTGAAAAGGACTGGAATGGATATAGTTGTTACTCGTAAAGCATTGTGATAAAGATCAGATGTTGCCTCTCAGGGGGTGAAGATGAAGAAAAAATCAATCAAAAGAGCAATAAATCTATTCAGAGTAGATGCAGAACGTGGGCAGAGGATGATAACAAAAGTCAAATAAA